TATGGCTCTCTCGGCCACAGAGGCCTCTCAGCAGGGCTGGCAGACTGAACAGAGACCCCGTGCAGGTCGAGGGGTGAGCCAGAGGGACGAGTAAATAGAAAGCTGATGGAAAGGGCCCCATTGTGGGACCGCCTGACCAGCAGTAGAGCCCAACCTGGAGGTGATATGGAGCCAAGCAGATGACCCAACAGCGGGGAACCTCCAAGATCATTAAAAGGCTTCAGCGTGGCCATTTGATCAGTGCTGAAACCACTGACTGAAAACACTGAACACAGCAAGCTGCTGTGTTTCCCCCTTGTCTGGAAATCAATCTGCGTGTGGGTGGGAGATGGCTGATTTCAATCCAAAAGTCATGCTGTACTGTTACTGAAAAAATGGGTTGCTGAATAAAAGCGTGGAGCACATATAGACTGATCACATAAGTAATAGTTATTGTAATTATAGTCTACTTCTAATACTGGTTAGACATTTTACACATTCTAACATGAACTAACGTGAAAACAGAGAATCCCTCATAAGAGTGACATCCAGGTTCAAACCTGTTATAACTGATTTTTTGGCTCCTTGGGGAAAGCAGAAACCATCAGTAAACACAGCATTGACATGTTATCAACTTTTAATTAAGCCTTGTTAGCATAGAGTTGTCTGTTTACAACATATCCAGCAGTTACGGAACAACATCGCTGTTCACTAGGCGTCATATCTGTGGCCACCTGACAAATGTAAGTCCAACATTCACTCTGTTAGCTCTGTTTTTAGTCTCCACCAACTCTGAGGGGGAGCTCTTTAGCTGCTAAATGCTCAACTATGTTCACCAATTAGTCGCTACAGTCTTGAATCAAAATAGTAAAGTTGCGAGTCAGACTGACTTTTGCCTAACTATGGCCACAAGTGATAATCACTGGATAATGGCAAATAAAATGAATTTAACTTGTTTTCTTCTCATGCTGTGATTTAACAACATTATACAGATGAAGAAAAGATCCTCAGTAAAGGTTGGACATTATCAATGATATCAGGTTTAAGATGTCTACTGTGGCGGAAAACCATAAAGGGATAATTGGACGTTGTGTTCTTGTGGGTGGCAAACCTCAGCGGTGTTAAAAACAGATCACTCACCCAGCATGTTCCCACCACTGGACGTGACGACACGTGTACTGCCATTAACTGAACATAAACGTGGTCTGTTCCCCCCCTTGCAAATCAGAACCACCTGCCCTCGGGCCCTGAGAACTGGCTGGTCCTCTCTCCGGACCTCCTTGGAGAGAGAGAGCCCCTCTTGTTTGGACAAACGTATGGGCCAGCTCTGGGGCTCTTACATGAAACGAAGAGTGGAGCAGAGAATCTTACCCTTCACATAGCCTCCTACAACCCTGGGCCCCGTCTCCTGCCTTCTGAGCAGGGCCCAATATTTTTTAATTACATACAGGAAACTCCTGTTACAAAGGACACTTTCTTAGTCAATCTGCAGGGAGGCTGTGAGGAGATCTGGGGTCCTCTTTTTTCTTTTTTCTGTCCTTTATCACTAAGTGTTTGTGGGCGGTAGGTGTATCGACTAACAAACTGGAGAGCGTGCCACCCAGAGATTCGGGTCACTGCTGACAGCCTACCTTCCCAAAGCCAAGAGCCTGGTCTGTGAATGCAACCCCCTCTTAACACACACACACCATCAACAAAACTATACAGCAAGCATCCCCACCACTTACCATCCCCTCTCCAGTGTTTTTTATGCTAATCTTGTTTTGTCTTTTTTTACCATGTTAAGTGCATTTGAGTACCTTGTAAAATGCTATATAAATAAAATATATTATTATTATTATGGCCCTGCAATGGACTGGCGACCTGTCCAGGGTGTACCCCGCCTTTTGCCCGATGTCAGCTGGGATTGGCTCCAGCCCCCCGCAACCTGTATGCAGGATAAGTGGTTGACGATGGATGGATGGATGGATTATTATTATCATTATTATTATTATTATTATTATTACAAATAAACCAACTCCAACACCAAATTCTTTGTTATATTCACAAATTATGTATTTTAATAGCCTACTTGTCAATATTAATAATATTTTATATAGCAGGACAAAGAAGTAGACATGTCAGTGAGCTTTTTTTCACCCTCAGTTTCTTAGCTCCGGTGGTCTCTAACTGACAGGAACTCAGGCACTATTTGTTATCTTTAGGCCCAATAAGTCCATCTGGTTTTGGTTTGGCTCCTCAAGATCGCCCCTGGAGATGTGGATGGAGGGGACTTAGGGGTGAGGAGGGGTGGTGGTCTAGCAGGCTTTTTTCTCCTCTTAAATTTAATTTCTCACCATTCCAACCTGGGCCTTGGACCAGGGATAGAGCGAGAGCTTGCGTTCGGCTTCCAACCCTCAGGCTCCCGAAAAGTTCTGCAAAAAAAGTAAGAAGGGGGGGGGATACTTGGAAGAAATCAGTATCACCTGTTTTGCCAAACGACTTGCATGTTCGGAGTAATGGCCATTAACTGACTGTGCCTGTGTTTGTAATAGAGGAATGTATGAACTCTCTCTGAACCATTCTTGACATGAAATCTTTTGTGTCTGATGAAATGATGTGTGAAAATAAGCAAATAGTAGACCAAACAAAGCTGTCAGTCCAGGGAAATTTATATTTAGGGTGTTATATTTAAATGTAAAAAAGAAACACCAGGAAATTTCTTTTCCTGGTGTTCAAGAACTAACCTTTGTAGCAAAGGACCATATAGTGTTGATGTTGATATTTGTACAGTAGCCAACATAACAATAATCTAGCTCACTAGCTAGCTACATCTAGCTAGGATAGGTAGTTTAATGTAAAACGGATATATTTTTTAAAGCCAACCTCTGTAGCGAAGATATATATGATAAATCCTTGGTCACCATTCCACACCCACTAAACATTATATTTGTTTGCAGCTCATTTACCATGTGGTGTGGCCAATCCCACTTCACAGTCAAACATTTGACTCTATCCACATTGAGCAACTCCCACAGCCTTTCCTTCCTGTCTTTTTTTGGTCCATCTGAGGTTGACGTTGAACGTAATAAATGTAAAACCCCAACCCTAGCCCCACATTGGGCGCTCGTGGCCATTTAATCCTTTTGGCTGTTATTTTGATATATTTACTTTTACTTCTGTGCTTCCGTTTCTAAATTCTTAACAGAAAAATACAAAAATTAATGAATTGAATTTGGTTGAAAGTTTTGGTCACTTTTCATTTTTTGATTCTAACAAAGACAGAAAAATGTCTCAAGGACCCCTAACACAGTCAACCAATCAATCTGCCACAGATTGTGTTTCTTCCCAAGTGTGCCATGAACCCCATGTATGGCACTGCCTTTTTTGTTTGTTCTTTTGGTTACCTTATCTTATATTTTTGCATTATCCATTATAATCATTGACCACACAACATGTCTGGTAATATCTCTTACTTTTTATTATATTTTCATTCTAAGTTGGCTTTACTCTCTAATTTTCTGTAAATATTCCTACGGCAGTTTTCCATTTTTAGCTGCACATCGTCCACTTACTAAGAAGAAATTCCACAAAAGGAGCTTGAGCTCAAGTCAATTTCAGGTTTTCATACGGATGGAAGACAGTTTGTCTCCCCATCTCTTGTCACAGTCCAGTGCAGGATATAAATCAAAATGGAATAAAAATGAAAATAACCCAAAACTGTGAATTATTTTGTTGGCCCTTACAATTTTATGGCCATGACAGTCTTAAACTACTGGATGTAGAAGTGGACAACTACTGGGTTTCAATGCTTTTTGGTGGTACAGTTTGCTTTTCTGGTATTTCTGTACAATTAAATACATGTTTCTCATGGTACTCCCCCATAAAGTCTGCACTTATCCCTGACTAACCCTGTGGCTTCTGTTAAATAAGACCATACTGTCTTTTAAAGAATAGCACAGGCTGAAAGTTAAGGTATACTTTGTGGAAATATAACTTGAAATGTACCCATGCTCCTCGCAAGCTCACATCGCTGTTTCCTCACTGTCATTCTCAATTTTTTCTGCATCAGCCCTTCCTGTGACCTTTGTAAAAACGGTCGATACCTTTTTTTCTCCAATATATCTGAGCCAAAGCCCCATTCCCCCAACATCATCATCACCCCGCGCACTCAGTTTATTTTCTCAGGTGAACACACTGTATTGCACACACTGGCTCCCTCAGATGCTCTTTATTAGGCTCCTGGAATCAGCTGTAGCCTACTTTCATCTTGAATAAGAGGAGAGTGTTTGTGTGTTTAAGATTTAAATAGACCTCGTCTGAGATTGTAAAATTCTCACCAAAAATAGTCCACTACGTAGTCACAGATGTCACAGAAAAAATGCTTCATGAATATTGTTTCTAATCATACATGGATGTACTGCTATAGTCAGAGTTTAAATATATTATTGTAAAAACACAATATACCAGAGGCTGATTTTAGACTTCAGCATTAGGAGACCCCAAATAGACTTATTTGTTATGGAAAGAGTGTATTGTCACCTCAGATGTATCCTTGGCTTTGACTATTCGTAAATGTTACCACATTGACAAAAACATAACATTTATTTTCAATCTAATATATAAGAATAAATTATTCGTAGATACGATTCAAGATATCATCTAAAGTGTGAGGTTGCAAAGGGGTCTTCACTAAGACCTCTATACCTTCGGCTATAAAAAGGGCAAAGGCAGTCAAATCCCTATGTTCTAACGTCACTCCTCGCTGACAGAAAAAAAGGTCAAAAATATTACACCTAAGGTTCAAGAGGACAAAAGTTTTCTAAATGACACAATAATTAAACGTGGATTAAAGAATAATCACATGGTTTCTCTGCCTCTTTATGGCTACTTGCATTTATTATTATTTATTACATTTTCTTATTTTCATTTTGCCCAATTCATGAATATGTATGTTGAGGCCCTTTTTACATTTTTGGATACCCACAACTGTACTGTTATTATAAAAATAAACTTCAAACAACTAATAAACGGAATCACACTCTCATTTAAGACACAACTTAAGTTTAATGAATGTGTACACACTTCACAAATACATGCTGAATTTGAAATTGCTAACACTCGGTGACAACAATTTCTTTACTAGCACTCTGTGTTCAACAACAACTAATGTAACATTCATTGTGAAGTTAAATTAAAAACACATAAATGTAGTTCTAACAACATTGTATCAACTTAGGCAACATTAGGTAGTGTATTACTTTAATTTAGTGGACCTTCACAGAAGGCATTTCAAAGAAAACAGTGTTCTGTGAAAAAAGCATCTATAGTAGCATGAAGAGTAGCACTAGAGTGGTATGACAGCATACAGTACAAAAAAAAGACAGAAGTTTAAAAAAGTTATTTCTCTGTGAATCAAGTTTAACCTTTAATAGCTGATAAAACACATAGAGGCATGCAACAAAGAATCAAAATAATACACATAGCTGATAAGACATGTGTAAAAACCTGGACAAAGCAGGATGAAAAAGATGTAGGAAATATGGGTAGATCCAGCCAAACAAGCTTTTTAACTGGAACTATGGTAGCTTCATGTATAATCTGTTTATAAAAATATCCTTATAAAGTGCACATACCACATCTTGTGACATCGACCACACAAATTCCATTCTGTCCATACCTATAGTACACAGCCAGCATTTAGATGTAAGAAAATCTGATTTTTAATCTAAAGTTCAGCATTTATATACAGTGCCCCTAAAAAAGATATTGGATAATATTTGAGCGCGTAGAAATGCAACAGTCACATAATACGAATCATGCCTTCATACAGTAGCAGTCGAGGTATGTTTCTAAACATGTAAAGTTCATATCTATCAATAGACAACGCAAACAGTAGCGATCAATAACAGCACAATGTATTTGGTTAGAGATTTGGTTAGACAAACAGCTGATACAAAACAGTCCAATACAACACTACCACAAACAATCTAAACAGGTGATTGCCCATTGCTCTCGACGGTAACTGAAAATTGTGAGCTTCACAAAGGTAGCATTTATTACATGGCAATTTTACTGGATTGATAAATGTTATAGGATGTTCTTGTTATTTTATTAACCCTTTGTTTCTCTTGCATTCCAATAGGAAAATACATTTTCATGAAATTACAGTTTACTCCATGGTGGGACTATCAACTTTTAAATTAAACAAATCTGTTTTTGTCTGTATATTCTTTTTTGTATATTGCTTGCGTTAATACAACACAGTGGAGCACATGTCAGGAAAAGGTTTGTGGGGTGGCCAGAATTTCCCATTCCACAGGTGCATGGACTGAAATTTGGTAATTTACATGGACAGGAGGGTTGGTCCAAGTGGCCACAGCTGGAGCCATCACATTATGGCAGCCCTTAAAAAAAACAATGTAAATGGAGATTATTCTCTCAGAAGGCCGCAGTAACTGTATATCTGTAACAGGCAGGTACTGAAACTCCTGTTTTTGCTGTGCCATATCCTGCACAACATTTGAGGCATGCTTCCCCCTTGTGGATGGTTTGAAAGCATTCCTGTGAGGGTTAAATGTTTGAGGTGACACTCTGATTTTTTTTTCCAAATATAAAACACTTAAAAAGAAGAAGAAGAAAAATCAGACCAACCTCAACTATCGGTTTTGGGCACACATGATGATCGTCGTGATCTGCACATAGTTTTCTGTGAAATAAAGCAAAAAAACAAAAAAAACATCAAATGATTCATTCAACAAATGGAAAGGACACTGACACATAAAATTGGTTTCCTCGCTCCATAAACATATTTTATGTCTTTTATTTTGTTTAAAGAAATTGCATAATGTATTTACTGAAGTTTTTCTACCATATTAAAAAAAGCCGTCCAAGACTTTTGTTTGTTGCTTCAATATTTTTAGGAGACTTAAATTTGTTTAAAATTAGCAACCCTTTGTATTTTCTCAGTTTAGTTATGATAAATGTGGACCGTGTATTCTACCTTTGTGTGAAGGCGATGATGAAGGACTGGGTCAGATAGCCACGGATGTCTTAAGGCCTCAGATGCCCCCATCCTCCAACTAATGACAAACATATTGACACAAAAATATTATTCGTATGTTCAAAATCACCGTATGTTAACCTGAGTACACAGAAAGACAGTGAAACAGAGCGAGGAGGTGGATACCTTTTATTCACCATAAGGAGTCTGGAGATGAAGTCTTTGGCTTCTTCAGACGTATCTACAAACTCTTGTTCCTCAAAGTTCCACTTACAGGCCAAGATGTTATTCAGAGTCTCATTGTCATTGTCACCAAGGAAGGGGCAGAGACCACTCAGGCTAACGGAGAGTGACAGACGGTCATTAACATTAGTTTGTGCATGTGTGTGCATGCGTTTGTGTGTTTACTTACAGCATGTAGGTGATGACCCCGAGGCTCCACATGTCTGTGTTGAACGACACAAAGTCGTAGTTGATGACTTCTGGAGCAAGAAACTCTGGCGTGCCAAAATTCACTCGCAGTTTCTCCCGCGGTTTATATCTGTGTGCAAACAGAACTGAAATTCATATACATTACCTTTACATTTTATATGACTACTTCAGTCAATAAAACTGATAATAAAATAGAACCGGTACTCACATCCTAGCAAGACCAAAGTCGATGATTTTGATCTTATTTGTGACTCTGCTCACACACAGGATGTTTTCTGGCTGAAATTTATAACAAAACAAAATAACTTAAGTTATTGGTTGATTACATCAAGAATGTGTGAAGTGTATTTTTTAAAAAACATTACAACAGACATAAGTGACTTTGGCACCTTTAAGTCCAGGTGTAGGATGTACATTTTGTGCATATGCTGCAGGCCCTCGCAAATCTGCCTGATGAACAACACAGCGTCCAGCTCCATTAAAGTGTAGTTTTCATCAATGATTCTGTCAAACAGCTCCCCTCCACCAACACTAAAGATAAAGACAAATGCATAAAAAAACACCCCAATTTTAAAGCATTTTAAATCTTAAGTGTTGTTTTATTTTAGCGTAACTATCCACACTATCTAATAATACAGCTGTCAAACAAGTAACAAGAAAGAAAGAAAGAAGTCTATGAAAGACAACTTCTCGGAACAAAGCGTACAATAAGCTGTTTTGAAAGAAATAAACATATGTACTGAAAGTATAAAAGAAGGAGCATACTATTCAAGTACAAGGATGATGTCATTCCTTGACTCATAAGCTGCATAGAGCTGGATCAGGTTGGCATGGTCCAGATTATTCATGACCTGGATCTCATTCTTCACCACCTCCTACCAAAAACACAGGCGCAGACAAACAGACAACGAAATGCAGAAGCAGGCAAACAGACACAGATGCAGACAAACACAGACACAAACAAGACACAGACAAGCGAGCAGACACACACACACACACACACGATGAGAGGTGTCAGCTGTTCTCTGCTATGGGACAATGCATCTTCTCTTCTAGGACAAATATTTCTCACTTAGGTGAGAAGTATTCCCTTTGCTTCTGTTCCAAGTGGCCTTGTAGTGTGTTAGTATGTACAAAAAATTGTAACTGAGCCTCTGCTTTTTATATCATGTGGTGTGGTTCTCACAGTAGGTATCAAAATAGGACTCATTTATTATCATTACACTTAATGTTAGGTGCTGTACCTTTTCTTTCTGGTTCCTGGCTTTGATGACCTTCGCTGCCAAAGTGAGACCGGAAGAGTTTTCAACACATTTGTGCACCTGGCCAAAACGACCCCTTAAAAAGAGGGTGAGGAAAAACACTGGTCGTTGCAGAGTACAAGTCTCCAACTCTATTACCTTAAAATTGTACACCCTAGCAGCTGTGAAACAGGACAGTGATAGTGTTTCCATGACAAATCAACAAGTTTTAGGACAGTGTTGTGATTAATCTGTTATTTTATTAAATTGGAGCAGTGCTGTGTCTCCTCTTTGAAGACTTGGATTAACACTTGGTGATTAGCTACCCGCTGGTTCCAGGGATACAGTTTCGCATACCACTCAGTCCTGAAGTAAAAATAACTGCCGTGACTCTGAAGTTATGAACCAGAGGGGGGAGAGGAGAGGAGAGGAGAGGAGAGGAAAGGAAAGGAGTGGAGAGGGGTTTTGCAATTAGGCTATGGGAACTGAGAACCTCTTTCTCACTGCCTTTGATCTGTGATAGATCAACTGGTCATAAATAGCTGACTTTTTTTCTTTTTTTTACATCACACAGAGATTTTTAAAGTATGATACTCACCCGCCCAGGACCTCCTGCCAGTTGATGGTGTAGAAGTTGATGATCTGGTTGGGCTTGGCAGAAACGATGCGGTGATTGAAAGGAGCCACCGGAGGAGGAGTGTTGTCTAAAGTAGGATGGGGGCCAGAGAGACAAAAGAGATAATCTGTTTTAATAAGTTACGAGGAATGTGAGAACACACATACATCAGCTACAGTGATGCTTTTCAAAGGGTCCACGGCTGTTATAATAAAGTTAGCACGTTGTGTATTTACACGCCGTGATGAAGTACAGGCGCAGTTGTTGTCTAAATATTAAAGAGGAATAACAATACTTCAGCACAATACATATTGTAGTCCAAGTGCCAGACTTCCTCAAGGGCGTTATCTTACTTCATACCACTCTACTGTACAATTCACATCTTCTGTGAAGCTAGTAAGGAAATTATCGACAGACATAGCGCTATATCTGTGCAATGAGCTAATATCAACCCATATACAAGCCTGGCCGATTGAACAACCACAGACTATTTAATTCAAACTACTGTACAGTATTCAAGCCACACACGCACAAGGTCTCCAACATGTAGATCTTATAATGATTAGCTTATTCTGGCACTACCTTACAGTGGACTTTCTGGACTGAAAAAACTCCCCTTCACATCCACATACTGAACTCCATTACTGCGCTTAAAACCCTTCTTTTTAAACTTGCTTACTCAGTTTAACAGCATCTACTCTCTTATTTTACACTGCAAAATATCAATTTTGTTTGAATGTTGGTGTTAATGAATTATTGTAATTTTCTTATTGCTGCTTGTTGTTTATTATGTTTATTGTATGTTTTTATTACTGATTTTACCTGATGGTGTCCTTGAGTGCCATGAGAGGTGCCATTAAATGAAATGTATTTTTGTTATTAAATAAAACTCAATTATTCCAAATTTCCACTTACTTTAACTTCATACTTTGATAGTGTCAAGGAGTCCTGACTCACCAATAAAGTACCGCTCTACATCTTCTTCATCCACCTCCTCTGCATCATTTTCTACATCGTTGTCCTTTCTCGATCTTTTCATCCTTTGCTTTAGGTCTAACTGGAATTCAACTCCGTCAGCCCTGAAGACGGCCCAGCCCTCAGAATCAAGCCTTTGTTCGTCCTCCTTGTTGTCTACCTTCTTCTCCTCCTCTTCAACCTCCTCCTTCACCACCTGGCTCTTTACGTGTTCCTCCACTACAAAGTGTTCATTAGCCACAAAGGACTTGGTACTTGTGCAGCTGACTTCTGATATCCTGTCCTGCTCAGCCTCTGGAGATGGGGAGGCATCTTTTTGGTCATCGCTGCAGGAGAAAGTTATGGTGTTTTTACTCATTCTTTTGTTTGTTTGTTTATTATTGTTTACTTTTGTTTCATTACATCGTGTGTAGTTTATGGTACATTCTGTAGATGTGGCTAAAGGCACAGTTTAATTGATCTTCGCAAACACCATTACACACATTACACAGAATTAAGTCATAATATCAATGAAATGTCTTATCTATATTATTGGCCAAGGCTAATCACAAATAAAAACATTAGCTGTGATTTTTTTTGTTGGATGTCCAAATTATAATTGTATCCATTACAGATAATGAGGCTCAATTCGACTGAAATGTTAAAAAACTAGAAAAAAATAGTGAGGTGAGGCAATATACTTAATATTTCTGTAGTCTAATCTGTAATCTGCAAAAAAAAATTCTTGATTGATTGTTTGGTTTATAAAACATCAAAAACTGTAAAAACAAAAAAACAAAAACAAACCACCTTCGTGATTTGCTAGAGCACAATCTGACATCATCAAATGTTTCTCTAGGTCTACCAATAACCCAAATAATTTACTAAATTGCAACACAAGGAAAATGAACTCATTTTCACAATAAACATTTGATGTTTTTGTGTAAAAAAAATAACGTAAACAGTTATTATCAAAATAGTTGGATAGTTATGGATTAATCAGTTTATTGGGGTTAAAAATAGACTACCTTGTAGTCGGTTCTTTTTCATCGTCATGGGCAGCAGGGGACTCTGAGGGTTTGGTTTCTTCAGCAGGAGATTCAACCTCTTCCTTCTTTTCCTCTGGGACAAATAGATTCTCTTCCTCTTTCTCTTTCTCCACATCAAGCTTGGGTTCCTTTTCTCTAACCTCTGCCTCATGCACCTTTTCCCCAACCTCCTGCTCACTAACCGCCTCGACAACCTCACGTTTCTCAGGCACAGCCACATGGGAGTCCTCACGCAGGTACAGGTAGCAAGCGGGGGCATCAGGCTTTTGATCTTTAGGGGACACTCCAGCCTCCAGATCCAGATGTCCAGGGGTGAGATGGTGACTTGATTTCTCTGCATTGTCCCGGTTGAGTTTCTGCACCTCTTCAAGGAGCAACACCTGCTTCTTCAAGGAGATATTTTCTACAAAATGTCCAAATACAAATTGGATTGAGCCCCACAATATGTTAAACATTACTTATAGCTTTCCAACATATAAAGAAATGAATTGTGAATTGAATTATTTTGTATCAAAGGTTATAGGATATAAATCTTTCTCCCATAGACGTTTTGAGGGCAAATTCAGGTTTTTATTTATATATTTCTACTGCTGTGTCTTATTGATCATTTTATCTGGACACCAAAGTTTAAGCACCGACAGATCTTTGCAGATTTGACAGTATGTTGATCTCAGCACCTGCTGTGTCTGGGGGCTTCATCTTCTTTTGAGCTTTCAGACCCTTGGGGCTCGAACAGGGCTTATCTGTCCCATCTTTACCTTTGTGGTCCTTCAACTGTGAAATACAAATAAATAACAGTGAGAAGAGAAATGATGGATTATATATCAACATTCAGTTTCATATTCTCAAAGCAATTGTCTCAGTTAAGATGTTATATTAAAGGACTATTGTGGCATTTAGAATATAATATATAATATATTCACAGTATGGAGGCAGCCTTTTAATCTAAAACACAAAGAACAAGGTGACAGCCTAGAGCCAGAAATGCAAAAGCACAATCAGTATACTCAGACTGTAAGCAAAATAAACCTACAAAGTTTCCACATTTGCGAGAGGAGAGGAAATTCTTTGGTCCTTGGAGCTTTATCTTGTTAGAACGCTGTGGAGAACTGGGCTCACATGCAGGAATTATCTCCAGATTCCCTTTACTGGCTTTATTAGAGGTAGGTTTCTAGTAAAAAGACAAGATGGCAAGGCTTAGTAGGGTTATATGAATGCACATGGAAATATAAAAGATAACATGTTAAGACTTGTCAACAAGAGAGAGAGGAGGTTGATATGATGAAGTTAGGGTCACATGTGATACACACAACAGGAAAAATGAATCAAATCAAATTAATGAATCAATGAAATGATTAAAAAATATAAGCAACACCTTTTTTAGATTAGCACATGTAGGCCTATATTGCACTTCTCCCAAGCACAGACTGACTCGTATAATGGCATGCCTTTGATTATTCATGGCAGATGGATAGACAGCAGCAGTGCAGTGAATTTATAGCTTATCACTTGTCGCACTCAGGGATGGAACGCAATGCCAACCCTGAGCGGAAAATATTACAAGCAACCGTAGGCTGTTGTTCAAATTTCTCAGCTGAGGAAACTCACTAAACACTCTCTGATCAGGTTAGCATGGAAAAACCTGTCTTGAATGCTGTCGTGAGGTAATCAGTAGAGGGGATATTTCGAGTGCAGTGTTTCCCCAGTGATAGCAGTGTTTTCTGGAGTTCAAAACTCTGATTGGGAGATTGGGGAGAGCGTGGAGAGGCCGTAGTAACAGGAATTACTTGTAAGGTATCTCACACCTCTGGGGGTGGCGGAAGATGAAGCCACCACCTGACAGGTCCTCTGACGACCACAGAAATTCCCTGAAATGTGAGTCACACGGAAGCCATCAGATAGGTATGTGGTATAACGTAGCCATACAATGATGATCCAAACTTTTAGTTGGCTTGAATTCATATTGTAGTCATATCTTATTTTAACACAAATATGAAAACGGACTGCACTGTTGTACACCGTGCCCTGTAACATAAGTACTCTTTCAAGTATGTGATAACCCTGTCACATGATGTCATAACCACTCAGGTAAGTTTGCTCTTTGCGTGTAGGTCATAGAAGAAAAGAGATATGACTCTAACCTCCGCAGCTACACAAGTGATAAGAGTGTGGTGATAACGTGCTTTAGGAAGCCTGTAAGTTCAATACCAAGCAGCGCTTAGTGACCTTTATACAGGGTCTGACTTATGATTGTATAATACATATTCTATTCAGCTGAGCCCAAGTTTAAACTTTTAGACATTCATTTAAAATGTAAATTCCGCATCCTGACTGACAAGTGCAAAGCACAGTGCAGCAACATTAACCTCACTAATATTTACATAAGTACATATTTAGTCCTTTACTTCTCTGAACATGTACCAGCAATTCCTGGTCCTACAGACATTTACTGGAACCTCTAAATCAAAGGTGCTTTGACAGCATTATCAGCAGGACTCCCAATATAATTTTATGTAGAGCTATTTTGCGCTGCAGATAGGTTGCAAAGAATCACATGGCACAGACCCACTGTTACCCACTTTACAGTAGAGGGTAACTAGTGATGTAAAACACACCATGTCCGAACTGTGACAGAAGTAAGACTAATAGAGTTCACAAGGCAGATATGTGACTTGTTTCATTGAGTCAGTTGCAAATTATAAAGAGAGATGGGGAGAAAGACTGACTCATCGCAATTTGTTGACACCTGACTCCCGGTGAGCCCTTTTAGACTACAAACACTGCAGCCCCGATCCAAAAACAGCATTTCTAAACCGGGACACTTCACATTTCACCCCTGGCCTCACACCGGCCCTCTCGTGCCTTGCCCTCCCTGGGGGAGTCCCAGAGTGAGCCTTGTGCCAAGGAGAACATGTTGCACTCAGCATGGATAGAGGTCCAACAAGTTTAAGTGAGAGTTAAATCGGGGTTTTATATAAGCTATGAGTGACATATTTATTGAGCAGTAGCTTACATAACACTATAAAATTAACATTCTTAATTACTTTGCTTTCAGTCAGCAGTTGGCAAGTGTAAACATGGACAAATCCCAGACACTACCTATTACTCCAGCCAATTATATGGGGAATTTAACACGCAAGCCAAGTCACATTCATCGGCATGAGAACTGTTGGTCAGCTTTGCTGCTATGATCATTTTCACATGTTCTGCCAAGAACAAGATCTTTGTAAGATCTAAGAAATCAAAGTCAGCATGGAGCATCTTATGCTGCACAGACAGGAACAAGACTAGATGTTCATATTGATGGATGGGCTGCAATACCTGGCAACAACTTTAGAAACTTGAAAAATGTCAAATGTAAAATTGGAATCTAATATGGCAAAATAATACCCTCAATATTGTGATATTTTGGTCAGTATCAACAATAACAAAATTTGGATTCATGCAAAAGCAACACAATGCAGCATTTTCACATTTGGCTGTACAGTAGGTACACCCTTGAAGCAATTTTGAGTTTCAGCATGTTATTTCCTTAGTCTCACCTTGTCAAGCTTCTTGTTAATTGTGTCTGTAGAAGATTTCGTCTTAGTTGCTTGTTTTCCTTTATTGTCTTTGAGCTTGGAGCCCTTCCGAGCTGCAGGGCCTTTGAACACCAACTCCATAACCCTGGAACTCTTCACCGTCTCCCCAATGAAGCTGATCACCTGCTGCATGCTGAGGACCAGTTTTTCCATCCCTTCGAGCTTCTGAGCCTGCTGCTCGGACCGCTGGTTCACTGCCGACATTATGGTGCTCATCTCCTGACATATCTCCTTCACCTCTCCACCCATGACCTGCGTCTGGTTCACCATCCTGGGTGGAAAATGGATCTCCTCCTTGTCAACCTTCAGATTCTCCATATCCTTTTCAATGCCGTCAATGTCCTGAGACATCCCTTCTAGTCGGTTGAGGACCTTCTCTTGAATGTTGATGAGCTTGTCCATCTTGCTGCTCAGTGACTCAATCCGATTTTGGATGATGTCAAAGCTTGCGCTGTTGCCATCTCCTACTGTGTTCATTACCAAGGAACTCATGGCTTACGGTGATGTAAAACTCACGTTAAGACACCAACTTTAGACAAAAGTAGGACCAATAACGTCCGTGAAACAGACAAAAAGACTTTTTCAAAAATTGTAGCCAGCTCTGCCCTTCAGTGCTCCCCTTTGGTGCACAAACTAATAAAGAAAAGTGGAACAGTGGAACAGCACAGATTCAAACTCAAAAATAACCAATCACCAGCAATGCAACTGAAGATTTGAAACCTCTACAACTGAAAACTCAGATAACGTGCTCTCAGTTTCTCTCGCACTTTATCCCTGGCGCCTGCTTCTCTCCACACTAGAAATGGTATTAAGAGTGGAGTGAGCCGGTGTCCCTAAATGTAAATGGACAGCCGACGTCAGCAGGGGTCAAGTGTTTGGGGTGGGGGCTTGGCACTAGTTAAGCTATGAGACATTTGAGAACCTTTAAGTGTTAAGCCCTCCACCGTCACTGGCCTGCTAGGTGTCAAAATGGTCACTGTACACAGTACTTCTTCAGTGTGTAAGACAAGCATGACAATGTGCATTCATTATTAGTGTTTTTCCTATTCATTCGACAAAGACATTAACTGCTTGTAATAGATACGTCTGGTCCACATTCTTGAGTTGAATGCATGGGTGTCCAAAAAAGGAGAAGGAGCTCACAGGTGGGGGTATTAAAGTACAAAAAGAGATTTTACTGTTCAAAATACAAGTTGTGCTGACAATGAAAAAGTAATATTCAAGTAAAATTCATGGCAATGGGAAAGTCTGAAAGGACTGGGCTGCTGGATATTTGGCACTGTTGTATGTGGGTCTGTCTGTGTACAGTTGTGAATGAGAACCATGTTGCAATGCAAATTCCCTCTTTATCTCTTGAATGCCTGTAACTTGCACGCAGTGTCAGGGGAAAGAAGAAGCCTGTGACTCCTGGCTAAGAGGACTAACATTAAGATGTTTAGCCCGTCTGCTGAAAGAAGAGATGGGTGATGATATGTGGATTATGTATACGATGCTCTACTCACCGACAAAAACATCCACTGATAACCTTCCTTAAAAGAGTATGGGATCAATTATAACTTAGCTCTTGTAATATGAGCGGAATACATGTTACCTATAAATCAAAATATGTATGATTTATTCAAACAAGTGACATGTGTTTATGTCAACTCACAGGTTAGAAACATACATAAAATTCCTAAGCAAACAAATAAGCACATAAGAGAATAAATGCTATAGTCCAAATAATTTAAATAAACTAGACGCCGCAATGCACCTACAGTTAGTTATGCAAGCTATTTCCTGGCAGTTTTGCCTTCACAAACTTCACAAACAAATTTCGCCCCCCTTACATTCATGGATGATAGGGTTTAGAAGGGAATCCAGCTTTTCTCAATCCACTATGAAATACTTTTGACAACAGAGGCACAGACTGCAAACTGACTCACAGTGACCAAACTCGCCTCATTCAGGGTGCAGGAACCGGGGAGGGGTGTGAACTTGGCAGATAAAGTGGAGTGGAGTGGGTTAGGTGAGGGAAGGGAAGGAGTTTACCTGTCAGCTCACATTTCATGACAAGTCATCGGATCCCGCTAGCATATTTACTCTCCTTCACTTGCGCAAGATGGCGACAGCGGAAAGAACAAGTAACTCTGTCGGGGCAGAAACAGATGGAAGTGAAACCAACCATCAATCACTCAGGGAGACAGAGACGCTCACACCTGTCGTTGGATGCCAACAGATGACAGACAACGCAGGTCATTTGCAGCATGTTGTGTCAATGCATGAACAATCTTTCTTTTGCAGTGGTGCGCATGGAGCAGACACAGAAACAGGATTATTTCCACACAAGCACTGGATTTAAAATATTTCTTTCCAAAAGACCAAAAGAAATGGATTCTGCCACACAGCATTTTCAAAAGTGTTATTTTGCTACATATTCATATTGTATCTTTCATTTCTTAAAGGTAGGGGGGAACATTAAGGATATCCAACCCTGCAGGGGATATAAACAGACCCTTGGCATCTGAGGCCTATGACATAAAGCAAATTATATCACATTCACTTTACAGTGAAACTAACACCAAAGAAAGTAACAGCATCATGATCGGTGCTCAAAGTCCTCTGTCACCGTCTTTGCCAAGAAGTGTGTGTACACACAGCCTGAGCACACAAGGTGGCAGCTGAGCAGTCACTGCCTTGTCTACTGGTGCATGATTAAAATGTTGTTTAGTTAATCTGACAGCAAGATTATTGGGATGTTTTGAGGCATTTGTCAAACTACATGAATGTTCAGAAAGCAAATAATAAACAAATAATTCCATATTTGTGTGTCTGTGAGGTGTGTGTGTGAGAGTTCTGGTTGACCTTGCAGTTTGAACATCAAGAGTGGAAAAAAGTTAGGTAAAATGATAGCTCTTTTAAATAGTAAAACTTCCAACTTTTAAGGTCACCATGCATCCTTTGCAACCCTTTAATTATAAAACCACTGTGATGTTGTTATTTTTTTGCCATCGTTTGATGATGAACTAATTGTTTTTTCATAGGTCAATGGACACCTGATTATAACCATAGAAAATTCGAGATCAAGACAAATAATAACAAAAATGTCAAAATCAAGGCCTCAGGGACATTTTCATATAACAGACATTCATTTTTTAATTAATATACACAGTTTTTATTTACCAAATAAAGTCATTGAGCCGTGATGGTAATGCTTCTATAAACACCGGTGAGAGCACATGGGAGCAAAAAGGCAAAAAAGTGCACTTAAATGCACACATTTTTCTGTACTTTGTCTGATCAGTACTTGTGGGAGGTTATATGCATAATGTGACCTGCATGGCCCTTGGCACTGAGACAAGGTGAACTGTTAAACATGGAGCACGACCTCCCTTACAGAGAACACAATGTCCTGGGAAGCATCGGGGCTGTGTGCTGTGGCTACTGTCCAGTCACCTCTCCAATCTCCACTCACACATCGCACAGGCTGCCAGCTCAGGCTATACTTTCCCTTGGAAACTTGTGGGCTTAAATGTGTGGCAGTGATGAAACTTAACTCCACTTGCTAATGTCTAAGACGTCTCTTCGGTTCTTTCCCCTTCATCTCGTGTTTTCTCATGGCATGTAAACACGTTTTGCTACTGCACTTTGACAGACTTTTTGGTCTCGAGTTTTTTCTAAAACTAACCAAGTAGTTTTGGTGCCTAAATCTAACCAAACCCACGATCTTTTCCTAAATCTAACCAAAACCATGATCATTTCCTAAACCTAACTAAAACCATGATCTTTTCCTAAATCTAACTAAAACCATGATCTTTTCCTAAATTTAACCAAACCCATGATCTTTTCCTAAATCTAGTCAAAACTATGATCTTTTCCTAAACCTGTCACACTGTGGGTGTGTCTGCTCTGCTTTGGTTAGTTTTCAGTTATTTGTAGTTTCCAGTATCTGTTATATAGTTAGTCTGTGTTTTGGGTTTCAGTCATGTCTTGTGTCTAGTGTACTCTGTGTTCTGGTTCTGTGTTCTCGTTTGGGTTTTGTCTGTTATGATCCCTGTGTTTTAGTTGGTCAGTGTTTGTCTCTTTACATGGGTTTCTGTTATTGTCCGAGTTAGATTCTTGTCTGGTATTTTGTTACATGTGTTCTGTCTGTGTTGGTTATTATTTTGCCCCATGTCTGCCTGTCAAGTGTTCCGTCTGTTCCCCCCAGTTATCACTCTTTCTGCCTGCCTCTCTCTCTGTTTTCCCTGTTGTCTCTCTGCCTGCCTCGTTAGCCTCATGTCACTCACCTGTGTTGTTCCCGCCCTGCTCGTTAGTCCCTGTGTATATAAGCCTGGTGTTTCTGTTTAGTCTTTGTCTGGTCATTACAGTGGGTTGCAGTTTGTTACTCCGCCAGTCCTATGGTTAGTTGGAGTTTGCCTTTTGAGTTCTTTTTGGATTATTTATTTCTTTTAGATTATTTGGACTCAGCCACTCGGTTTGTAAGTGTGCTCGCTTTGTGTTGCTATAATAAACCTTTTGAACATTACCTGCTCCGCTCTGAGTCCTGCATTTGGGTCCACAAACCTGCTCACCACACCGCTCCCTGACAAAACCTTATCAAAACCATGATCATTTCCTAAACCTAACTAAAACCATGATCGTTTCCCTAACCTAACCAAACCATGATCTCTTCCTAAATCTAACCAAAAACCATGATCGTTTCCTAAACCTCACCAAACCATGATCTTTTACTAAACATAACATAAGTACTGTTTTACACATACAAGGAATTTGAAACAACAAATATGTGCAATGTGCTAGATTTGTGCATGATATGAAATGAAGGAAAATTTAGATGTGCAGAGACATTTGCGTTATTTGAAAGGGGGGGAGTGTCAGTGGGAGACCCGGACCTTGTTAATGAGGCTAGCTGCGGACGGGAAGACGCTGTTTTTGTGGCAAGAGGTTTTGGTCCTGATCGTTTTGGTCCTGATGGACCACAGCCTCTTGCCAGAGGGGAGAGTCTGAAACAGTTTGTGTCCAGGGTGGGAGGGGTCAGCTGCAATCTTTCCTGCTCGCTTCAGAGTCCTGGAGGCCTACAGTTCCTGAAGTGATGGAAGATTGCAGCCAATCACCTTCTCTGCAGAGCCAATGAAACATTGCAGCCTGCCTTCATTCTTGGCAGTGGCAGCAGAGTACCAGATGGTGATAGAGGAGGTGAGGATGGACTCAATGATGGTGGTGTAGAAGTGCACCATCATTGTCTTCTTCAGCAGCCACAGGAAGTACGTCCTCTGCTGGGCCTTCTTGGTGAGGGAGGTGATGTTCAGCTCCCACTTGAGGTCCTGGGAGATGTCCACAGTGGTGACTGGGGAGTCACGCAGGAAGGACTGTCATCAGAGCATTGAGCTCCAGACTGTTCTGGCTGCACCAGGTCACCAGATGGTCAATCTCCCACCTGTAGGCAGACTCATCCCCACCAGAGATGAGCCCAATAAGGGTGGCATCATCCGCAAAATTCAGGAGCTTGACTGACTGGTGAATGGAGGTGCAGCTGTTCCAGGTGCTGGAGGATGAAGTGAAGGGCGATGTTTACTGCATCATCTACAGACCTGTTGGCTCTGTAGGCAAACTGCAGGGGGTCCAGGAGTGGGTCAGTGATGGATTTAAGGCAGAAACTGCATCTATACCATATATTAAGAAGGAGTTTCATTTGGACGCTTAAGTCCATAAATTAAAAAGGGTACGCTTTGACAGGCTTTCTCAATGCGTCGGTATTTGACACCCTGAGATAAGAACGTTTTGGCATTGGAACAGCAGCAGTGTTTTTAGCCATATTAGCATACACATGTAGCTGTAGAGTAAATGGTTATGAGGCAGGAGTGGTACTAATTTTTAGTGCATTAGATCTGCAACTCAAGATTATTTTCATAATTGATTATATAGCTAACAAAATGACTGAAAATAGTAAAAGTAAAATGTCTGTAAAAATTTCTTGGAGCCCAGGTTAAAACGTTTGTCTGACCAACAGTTGAAAACCCAAAAGCACTTCCATACAGGACTGCGAAAAGCAGATATTCACATGTGAGA